CCGCGTCCCCCCCCCCCCCCCCCCCCCCCCCCGGCCACCGGTCCTCTCGAGGACGCGTTGTCAATGGTCTAACCGCCAAGTCATGCAAAGCATTTATATGTACGCCCACATCCCCCACCGCATCCCACCATCCCTCGTGCACAATCCCTCGCTCGTCAGGGTCACAAGCAATACCGACAGACGCGGCCGGGCAGCGGGACTACCTGAACGGGTTGGTGGCGGCGTCGGCAGAGAACAAGGATGAACAGGTGAGAGCACACCGGGCAGAGAGTGTGCGGTAAGGGGTCTTGCTGTTTGACAAGGGGAAAGCGGGGGGGAGGAACGGGGGACGATCGGAAGAGAGAGGAGGTCAGAGGAACGGCGAATGAGAGGGCGGGGGAGGGGAGGGGTGGTGACAGAGGAACGGCGAGTAAGACGGGGCGTGTGTGACAGAGGGGCGAGGGGGCGGAGGAGAGTGGGGCGGGGGGAGGAGACCCATATTGGGCGGCCACCTTTGGGCCTTGACTGGTGTCGCCCAGGTAGACGAGTGGCGAATGTGGAGTTGGATGTATGACACGCCAAATGTGTGGTCTATCGCTGAAATTTGTTTTTGTGGTTGCTGAATGCCGTCGCAGGATATCGGCCATAGCTTTTGCTCCGTCGACTGGAAGTCTCAGTGGTGTGTGCGAATGGTTTGCTGGTGGCCTTCCCCCGGGGTCGTTAGGTTTTGTTTTGCAGGTTGGACTGTCTGCGTTTATTGAGCATCCTACCGCCGCTTGACCGAGTAAGCTAGCGATGTTCGAGGCTTCCCGGGCAAGGCGAAAAGGAGCTTTCGTTTCGCACTGCACCCAGCCAAGTGAATTTGACGCTGTTTTCCAGCCCGAAGCTACCACAGGCCAGCCCTCCAGGAAAGGCGCATGCACATGGATTTTTGGGCACGACAATAAGTTGCCACTTTGTTTTGGGGGTCAGCACAACATTTTCTAGTGTGGTCGATGGAATCGGGGTTTTCTCGCCCTGCTTGCATGCCTGTCTTCACACCAAGCCCCCATCTTCATCCTTACCCAAACGTTCTACGAGCCTCTCACAATGGCAAACAACAACGCAGATATTGCCAGCACGGGTCTTCCCACACCTCCATCGATCCGAGTTGTTTGCCTTTCAGCACGCCTCTCGTCAAACCTGAAATCCAGCAAAACGCTCACGATGACCAACACGCTCGAGGCATCCCGCAGTTCGATCGACCCGACGTGCATGACTCTTGCGCAGCCACTGACATGCTCTTCGCCTCTTTCACCTTCCCAAGGACGGCCCCTGAGCACAACCAAAACGATCGCCACGGCAACTTCAATACCCTCTCGGCTCTCTTCGCTTCCACCCCAGCTGAGCAACCTGGCGCTGTTCAAGACTCACAAGACGGGCTCCACGACCCTCGCTATCCTGCTCCATCGGTACGGCAGAAGACACGACCTCGAGGTAATGAATATTCCGATTTTCTTTCCCGTCAGGGCTCGAATTGCTGTCCTTTCCGTACACTCGTTCTTAAATCTTTTGCAGTCGTCAGGGCGTGCGCCGCTGTTGTCTTCTACCGTTTGTCTCTCCGACCGTCGTTTACTTGCCTCCCTTGTCTGGAGACCTCCGATCCGGGGGACCACACGGACCGCTTGCTTCTCTGAGCTCCCGCACGGTACCTACACAGTTGCCATTTCGCACCGGTGTGGTCGTGTGTATATCGACGGTCGGTGCGTTTCTGTCTTCGTGCTTCCCTCGCTATTTGGAGACCTCCGATCCGGGGTGCCAGCTACACGGACCGGTTGCTATTCCGCCTGGTGAAGCCCCACCCCTTTTTTTCAATCTACAACATTCCGTTTTACCGGAAGTGTTGCTGCGTTGAGTGCCGCGTTTCTCGTCGGTATTGTCGTGAGTAACGACGATGGCTGTGTTCATTTTTGTTGTTGTTGTTGTTGTTGTTGTTGAGAACATCGCCCCCGATTGTGGTCGCGTGGTGTATTCGAGCAAAAAGGAAGATAGTTGTTGTCACCGAAGCCCGTTCCATCTGTGCAACCGTAGAGGTGCGGCCCGCACGCCTGAAGCCCACAGAGGCGCTTCATTTCTGGCACGTCGATGGAGTAGACCCGGATTCCTGACGTTTGCCGGAGAGCGGGGTTTGCAAAAACGTACGGCATGTAACATGACGTGAGATACCACACCCCCTTCACCGATTGTCGCAGCTCGATTGCTACAAGGAGTGATAACAAAACGTCGGCGTTGCAACCGGCTCATGGAGAGATTTTCGAACAAGCCTAGTTTGGTCGGGACATCATCCCGTTCGTCGCGGAGAAGTCGGGCTTTGAAAACCGGTCAAGGGGGGGGGGCTGGTGTCTTGTGTCACCGACGGCGTCCCCGTCGTGCTGGAAGCCTCCAGAGCCCCCGGCGGAATCTCTTTCGGCGATGATGAAAAAATCCCACGCCACCTTCTCTTCCTTTGGGTAGTTGGCTATGTGTGCATTCTGCTCAGTGCGCGCAATGCCTCCAAGGCTCGTTCTCTGTGCCGTCGTGCCCGCGACCTTTTCTGCCGTTACCGCAAGGGGCGGAGAGGTGGCACCCTCCCTAGAGCGTTTTCCAAGCCCGACTGCTCCACAACGAGCATCGCGCCAGTATGAATAAATCGGGGTTTTGGAAAAACGTCTCATCGAGGGCTTTCCGTAGACGTATCGGGCTCTTTCCGCACCCACTTGAATGGGGAGCAATCGAGCTTTGAAAGTCGAATAGGGAGGGTGTATTCTCGCCGCCTGTTGGAATATCATTTTAATCTTGGCTACACGTTCCTAACTCTCGCGTTGTTTCCACACTCGCTGCCGGGCGCCGGTGATCCAGGTTGCACACTTTCCGGGCTTTGGGTCGACGATTCCCATCGAGGAGGCCGCTCGGCAGGTGGGTCAGAAAACCTGTTTTTTTTTGCCTTGGGCAAGGTTTTTTTAACGTGGCTTACATCAACGTAAATGCTTCGGTGGCGTGTGGGTTGTCCTCTTGAGCGACCTCGCTTGTGCGTTGCCTCATCTTCGATCCGTGGTCTCAAAGGGAAAGAGTCAAGAGTTTCTCTCTCTTGGGCACGCCCTCCTTTGAACAATACTACGTCCAAAGGACACGTAGCGTTTTTGCGGCATTTCGTGGGAAGTACAAGACAGGCAAATATCAAGCTCAAGGGTACCACACCATGTCGACCCACCGCCAATTGGGAACCGCGACGACCGCTGGCTGAACAGCTTTGATTTGTGGGTCGCGCAGCTAGTATTCCCTGGTCTCTTCGTCGAGCGTGGCGAGCAATGACGCGCCCGACACAGATTGGCGAGAAATTTTCTTCCGACACAGATTATGTTCGTTGTTGTTAGCCCCATCTGGTTGAAAAAATGGGCCCGAAAAATACAGTCCCCACGTACAACACCTCCGCCATGCCACGCATGCTGAATACGACGACCGTTGTTGGCCCTTCTTTGCAGACGGGGTTGGCAGACGATGGCAAAAGGGTTGACATCATGCACTACCACATAGACACTGACACGCCGAGGCAGGAAAGGTGGGGCTCCGCGAAAGAGCACTACCGGGACGTGATGCGGTACCCGGACGACATAAACTTTATCACGATACTGCGGGACCCCCGAGACTGGCTGCTGAGCTTCTACTCCTTCTTCGTCGAGTTCGAAACAGGGGTGAGGGGCGGGACTGTGGAGTTCCTGATACAACAGCCGTTCGTTCCCTACGTTGCAAGACAGCAAGTATTGGGGACACTCCCGACTTTACGGACACAATCTTTTTGAGAAGCTGGTGGTGCCGTTAGCATACCGTATATGACACAAGATAGCACACCCCCTTGACCAATTTTCGGAGCTCGATTTCTCAACTGCAGGAACAGTCACAGCGCCGAGAACGGCGGCGTTGACACCGTCTCGTCGAGAGCTTTTCGAAAATGTATCGTTTCGTTTATGCATCCTCTTCGTCGTGGAGAAATCGAGCTTTGAAAATCGGTCCAGGGGGTGTGTTATCTTGTGTCATATACGGTATGCCAGGTACACCTTCGGGAGGCAACAGCGTCGAGGACACTTGCCCGTTTCATGGGCCCTTCTGCTGTGGTTTAGGGATATTCGCATCAAGTGCTAAGTATATTCCCGGCACCGTTTTCTTCAGACGCATGGTACCCCGCGGATTGATGAAACGCTAGGGGGGTACATGTTTATTGTAGGGGTGTCCCCGATCTACGTGCTCCGTATTCTTTCAGAAGCATGGTACCCCGCGGAATATATTGAATTGCGAGAGGGGAAACAAATGTATGATAGAAATGTTCCCGCTTTGCCGGCAATTGTTTTTATAAATAACTAAGGGTGCCCTTGAGGCGACTGCGCACCGACCTACTCCTCAGCCCTTGTCGCCAGAGTCAAGCTTCATGGATGCGTATTCCAGAGGGGGGCAGACGTCACTGTCGTGGATCATTGTTTGCGAATCGAACAGGGGTCTCGGTTTGACGAGCCTTTAGTGTGTGGGGTCGAGAGCGAGGTGTTTGGACCCGAATCGACCGCTGGTGCTGCAGGTCATGTATTGAGTGCCGGCATCTTGTGCGAAACGTTCCTCCCTGCGTTGCATCGCTGCATCTGTGAACAGGTCGTGGTTTTGGCAGACAGGCGTTACATACATATTATCTCCCGAGATAATCGACTACTGAAGCCAAATGCCCCTCGCTTGTGTATGTCGAAATGGTTCTGTTGTGGTGCCGAAATTTCACGGGGCTGTGCTGAATGTCACACGGTCGTGCTTAGCTTCACACGGGGCTCGCCCGGTTCACGCACGGTTGTGCGAAATTCCAGCTTGTTTGCACCTAAGTTCCGAATGTCACCCGGTGGGTTGTGCAGATTTTGTCGCGCGGATGATTGTGCCGAGTACCCGATCCGACTGAGAGCAGGTTCTAGTAGAGGTGGTGCACGCAAAAGCCCAACGATCTCTCGTGTCAACATCCGTGCAATTGTTAGCCGCCGGATGTGCGTCACACGGTAGTAGTGCAGAACGTCACACGGTAGTGCTGCCGAATGTTACACGGTAGTGCAGGTTTGTTTCACGGTAGTGCCGAACGTCACACGGTATTGCAGGTTTGGTTCACGGTAGTACAGAATATCATTCGGTATTGCAGGTTTGTTTCACGGTAGTGCAGAATGTCACACGGCAGTGCAGGTTTGTTTCACGGTAGTGCCGAACGTCACACGGTATTGCAGGTTTGTTTCACGGTAGTACAGAATATCACCCGGTATTGCAGGTCTGTTTCACGATAGTGCCGAACGTCACACGGTATTGCAGGTTTGTTTCACGGTAGTACAGAATATCACCCGGTATTGCAGGTCTGTTTCACGATAGTGCCGAACGTCACACGGTATTGCAGGTTTGTTTCACGGTAGTACAGAATATCACCCGGTATTGCAGGTTTGTTTCACGATAGTGCAGAATGTCACACGGCAGTGCAGGTTTGTTTCACGGTAAAGCAAAATGTCAAACGGTAGTGCAGGGTTAGCAACACGGACAACTGACGGTGGCGACTGCCCGCCGGGTCCTTCAACGACCAGGTTCCGATCGACGAATTCTTCCGGCAAGACGCCCCTGACGAGGAGGTGCTCGAGCGGCTCCGCGACCTTGGCTGCAAGGAGTTCGGCGTGGCGACGGAAACGGAGCTGGAGGACTTCATCGACCAAGAGATCCCGGAGTTCAAGCTGGTGAGATGGCAAACGCGCGCCGAGAAATGAGGCGAACCTCAGAGAACCATGTTCGTTCGAGACCTATGCATGCTGGTATGCATGAGATACCCCACGGGGAGGCAATTGGTAACTGGGAGAGAACCTTCTTCGTTGGCCCCCTATTTTCAAGCCGGTGAGACACTGCTCGCGCGGAGGAAATTGCCGAACCGCGGCGTAGATACTTGTTCGTTTCACGCCCTTTTAGTCGGTTCTTTGCGTTGCCCACACAGGATCAGGTCCTTGCGTTTGCTCCTGCCTACTTGTGTGAACGGCATCTCCAGCGAGCAACGATAGTCCCGCGAACCGTATTGGTCTCTAGAGGTTAGGTATGAGCGAGTGTCCTTTGCCTCCGGAGTGAGGACCCTCGTTTTGGCCAGCTACGAGGGCGGCGTGCTCCAATGTTGGGCAATCAACGGGCTACCTGCGAACAACAGCAATGGTAATCCCGCCAACAGCAGCAACAGGTAGCCCCCGCGAACAGGAGTAACGGTATTCCCGCGAACAGCAGCAACGGCATCCCGCGAACGGCAACAATGGTAGTCCCGCGAACGATGACAACGGTTCCACGAACAGACCTGCGAATGGCAACAGCAATCTCGCTAGTAGTGACAACAGACGTACACGGTTATTCCTGCAGCTGCCCAAACCAGTCCTTCCTCAAATAATCGACGATAGCATGCCTCAAAACGTAACTCAACGATTAAGATGAACGGTGGGGTGCCGAGAAATGCGGAACGACCTAGCAATCTCGTAAGTTGCCCAAAGCTGGTTGCCTATGCCCTCTGCGACGCCGCTTTCGAGTGTGCGGGGTTGGGTGTTTGTTGCGAGCGCCACATGTTTGGAGGCTCGAGCTCTTTACGGCGAGGAACGTTGGAATGATTTGTCTTCCGCTGGTCGGGCGATACGTCCCACAAGGAGGCTTCCGTGGGATTTTTGTAATTGGGTATTCCGCGAATTTGGGGGAACGCCCGCCCCTTCCTCCCATGGCTCAGCCATAGGTTTGTCACTGATTATCTTTGGTTTGCTTTGACGCTGGTATCCCCGATGATGTCGCCGGAGCGCTTTTTTTTTTCACCGCGCGCGTGCGCCCCCTTATGACCTCCTGGTGCAGAAACTGGCCGCGGAACGGTAAAAACTATGAGAGATAATTATTATAGGTAAATTAGATTTTTTTTTGTCTTTTGGTGTGGGATAGAATCCGCCCCCGGCCACGCTTGCTTTGCGCGTGCCTGGCAGATATAACTTTGCCTCCTTTTCACCACAACGAATCCATTTCTATCCGCAGATTGGAGCCCAGGATAAATTAGCATTGGATCCATAGCGTCAGCGGAGGCTACCAATGTTTCTATGATTCCCCGAGCAGCACGTGGCGTTTTGTTTTCTTTTGTTTGTTTTCCTGAGATCTTGACGAAACTTTTCATCATTCGGTCTTTGCGCAGGTGCTTGTGACGGAACGGTTCGACGAGAGCCTGATGGTCATGAGGAGCCTGCTGGGATGGGACCTGGTCGACATGACGTACGTGTCCGTCAACCGCTCTTCCGGCCGGAAGGGCAAGTTTGGCGTCTCGAAGGAGAGGGTGCCCTTTGACCATCTCCCGGAAGACGTGAGCACAAATAGCACTGTTCTTGTCGCATCTCTAGAAAGAGCCCCGTAAATCCTGCTCGAGGTGGACTGCCCCGGTTCGGTGTTATGTGTGTTTCCAATGACTACCGACGGAAACCTGTTGGTTCGTCCTCGTTCTTGTTGTGTTGACCAACCATGGGAACCATTCCGTTCGTTGGGAAATAATTTGGCAGCAGTTTTCGAAGTTCATGCTCAACATTGTGGGGAATAACTAAGAGCTTGCTCAACGTCGTGGGTGAAAACTTAGGACTCCAGCGATTTGCAACCTCCATTAACAACCCACACACAACAGAACCCATGTAGTGGCCATTTGGTTCCCCAACATGAAGAAGCGAGAACCCCAGCCCCGGCCAAACCTAGAGATTCCTACGCACGGGCGCTATCTGTATACGTACAATCACACTAACCTACCCGTTTAAGGTTGTAGTCCAAAGGGATACATGTTGAAGTTGTTCAGCGAGAAGAGGGGAAAACCGGCCTGAAACCGGGCTTATCTTTTTTCGTTTCCGGGTCGGGTACACGGGGGGGGGGCATCGGTAGTGCCGTTGTGTGCCCCCTCCGATTTATCGCCGACACTGTCCAGCGCGATACACTTCAGAGAATGAGGCAGCCTGAACGTTCCATCCGTGCCCACGCCGTCAACACGCATCCAAGAAAAGAAGCCTCCTATCCCGGTCCGCGCCCTCAACAGCAGGAGGACGAGCACTCATGACCGTCAACCTTTGTTCCGACGTGCCCCCGTCCAGGTTCAGGAGAAAATTGACGAGCTTACCACCTTGGATAGGCGATTGTACGATGCCGGCGTAGCTGCGTTCGAGGAGGTACGGGAATATGGTTTTCGTAGACAGTATCTGTTGATGTGCTTGGTATCGTTGTTGTTGTTGTTGTTGTTGTTGTTGTTGTTGTTGTTGTTGTTGTTGCTGTTGTTGTTGTTGTTGTTGTTGTTGTTGTTGTTGTTGTTGTTGTTGTTGTTGTTGTTGTTGCTGACCCTGCTTCCTTCACCGGCTCACCTCCGATGCAGAGTCTCGCGCCCTTCACCGCCCAAGTGGACGCGGACCTCGAAGGATTTCGAGAACTCCAGACGGTCGTGAACGAGTACCTGCGGGACAACCCGAGCAGCCCGGCACAAGCTCTCTACAGGTGTCGCTTCTTGGTGTTCCTACGCGTTTGTTCCGTTTCGTTTTGCTCTGAGAGACGCGAAGAACAGGTGTCCTACAGTAGCTCACACGACCCCAGCTTACCCCTATCGCTCTCGTTGTTGGTGCACGTGACCTCTTCATTTTTCCTCCTGTGCGCTGTTTTTTGTCTGGGAGACCGGCGATTACCTAGGATGTTGAGTTGTAGAGCGTAGTTCTATGTGGTGTAGTCGTACTTTCCTCATAGCCGCGTAGCCGTTTGTCTATACCACCGTTCGCGAGAATTTTTGTTTTCAGATGATTCAACGAAGTTCGTTGCTCGCATGCAGGAAGAAACGTCGTTGAATATCCGAGGGATGATTCCGGTTCTTTCCTTCCTAAACACGAACCTCCCATTAGGCTCTATGCACACCCGAAGTTTTCGGTGCTCACCCTGCATCAACGAAATATGAATCCTCGAGTTATCCTACACCCGTCGTCGGATCACAAGAAATCCAAAGGCTGCGTTTTGGGACAGGTGGTACCGCTTCGCAGTTTTTCTCCTTGTTTTTTAGTTTTTTTTCAGTCCAACCTTTGAGATTCACAAGAAACCCAAAGGCGGCGTTTGGGGACAGGCGGTACCGCTTCGCAGTTTATATCCTTGTTTTTTGTTTTTTATCAGTCCACCCTGTGGGGTTATCGGTGTGTCCAGTTGCATTTCCACTTGCCGTAAGAAAAAGAGTCTTGGTTCACGAATGGGGGGCTTCACAACCTTTGCAACTACTTCTAGAACTAAGAGCAGAGAACGACGAATCTTACATTACTAGTCGGGGGCATGGTGTGGAGCACCAGAGTCGGAGCAGTGGTAGGCATTGCTGTTGCGAGTGCTTGTGGAGACCGTCGAGGGCTTGTGAACAACCGCGACACCGAAAAGGCAACAACTTGTCCTCTTTGAGACTGCGTTCCACGAAGACGTTGCGTTTGGCACGGGGCTGAGCAAGCGCCCCAGGGATCCACCCGTTGTTTGCTGAAACGCTGCGGTGCACCTTGCTCTCTTTGTGCCTTCACGATCCTGCCCCCGCGTTCGCGCGCGTGTCTTCTTAAATGCTACAGTTATCGCCCGCACTTAGGAACCTCTACCATGGTGGGTAGTTTCGGCCGAGGCGGGGGTTCTTGGTTGCTCGGGTTGTGCCAAGAATCGCCGCTATATCGGTTTTAGTGTGGGGGCTCTCAACCAGGGTCACAAACTGGTGCTCACATGTTTTTTTTCAAAGCTTTTCGAGCCTCATTCTGGCTACGTAAAAAAAATCTAACGTTTGCATACGCATACAACCGCTAACTGTACCTTCCGTTTCCGTCTCTTCTCCTCGCTGCCGGCTGCCGCGGGTTTCACCTGTAACAGTTACAAGACCGCCGTATATTACGAAGACCCACCACCGATGCTGGACTTCTGAACAAGAGCGACCTCGCTGCAGTAGTGGTAGTGACCACGTGGCTATCCTCCTGGAGTTACTTGTTGCGGACTGCGGCGTGCCTGTGACCTACAACATCGGAGCCGGGCCGAGCACTTGTTCGAGGCCGACAAACTGTTGCTGCACATTCGGTTATTTGTGTGCCATTTTTCACAAAGTTTGTTGTTCCTCTCAAAACCTGTCGTTCGCAGCTCAGGCAGAGGTCGAACGCAAAATAGAACGCCTCCTTGTCCCAACAAAGTAAAAGCTCCTTTCTTTTGCGGGGCTCCACCCGAACTGGTACTTAGTCTCGCGCTAAGTATGCACAACCACGTGTAGGCTTGCGCACATTCGGTTCCATTCAAATTCGACTGCTATCCCGGAAGCTATGAACTCCGGGTCCCCCACACTTTTGGTCGTTTTGATAATCTGCCGATGGGCAGCCCATGGGTCGCCCATGGGAAATGCTCACGCCCAAGCCCATGGATTAGCCCATGGGCACCCCACGGTGCGCACTTGTGGGCAGTTGTTGTGCTGCCCACAAGTTCATGGGCAGCCTATCGACCTGTCCGTCAGCCTGAACCAGTGTACCCCAACACAGTAATGCATCTTCTTTGGAACAGGCAGTACACTATCGCTAACCCTAACTCCAAGCGCACACGATACGTGGTATGTTGGCACTGGTGGAAAAGTTCTAGGTTGACTTGCCGGTGGGTAAGGTCTAGGTTGATACCGGTAGCGAAGTTCTAGGTTGACGTGCTTACGGTGGGCACAAGTGCCCACGGTGGGCACTTCGTGGGCAGTTAATGGGCTGCCGATGGATCGTGCACCAAAACTCTCGGTAGTTTGGGAGACCGTGAAATCCAGCCTCGACAATTAGTTGAACAATTTGGCGCTACCAACAGGTGCTCCGTGGATGTGCCTCATACGCAAAACAAGAAACGAGTCCCGACCAACGATGAGGTAGATATAACGTGAAATTCACCAGACAGATCCGATTCCGCGTGCTGTGGAAAAGGAGAAATCGACCGACCCCAAGAAACCTAGACTAGTAGTGCTGCTGGACGAGCGAGGCCGAACCGTTTGACAGAGGTGGAAATATGGAGAGGTGGTATCGTCCGAAAGAAAAGTTGCCCTTTGGAGACAAGATACGAGAGGAAACATCGTTCATTAGGTTGCCCTTGGAAGATAACAAAGTTGGGAGAGTGAACCTCACACCAGGTAGGTCCAATACAAACCACGTGCATACCCAACAAAAGTCGCGAGAAATTCACCGCCCGAAACACGGGGTGGGAGCACTCCGCAGTTTGCCAAAGGTATATCGGAAGACCCGGACGAAGACGTACGTGTGTCTGTGGATGACGGTCGCTGTCATTAGCTACTTTCAGTTCTCAAACAAGATGTGGTCGTATCTTGAACGGTGTAAGATATACTCGCAGCAGTCTCTAGACGTGAGGATCCTCGGGGATACGTGTTGAGAATTTCGTATGTTGATGGGTACCACCGATGCAGATACGGGGACCCTTTTGGCCTTGGTTGCGGTGTTGAAGGCTCGCGCATCTAGCGCACTGCTTTCGCTCTCTCCACCGCTACCGCCGTCTCTCTCCAATCAAGTTTCCTTCTCCAACGCTTTCTCCAACGCCAACGCAATCTCAATCTCTACCTCTCTCTCTCGGCCTAACACGGCCGACTACCCACTGCCCCAACAGACGCCCAACACGGGCTTGCTGCACCCCGCGTAGTTTACCTTTCACACTAGTGCGAATCAGATTCAGATTCTGCGCGCGGTCGTAGTACACCGGGGGGTTGTGCATTCACGCGCAATCGGTAGACTCCCACAACAAAAACATCATGCCTACCTCGGAGGATTCCGAAATCGACCTCTCCACCCTCAGCAAAGAAGAGCTGCAACAAGAAGTTCAACGAAGGGTGGACGCCCAACTTGCGAAGGAGAGAGCAGAAATCGCCCCACTGCCAGCAGAACAGCAGTCACCTACCATCGGCGAGCAGTCGCTACGTCCCACACCAGCCGACATACCGCCCACCGGCAACCAGCCTTCACCCTCCAGCCAGGGATCCCAATCATTCAACAATCCCACCAACGTCGCCAACATCGTGGCGCAAGCGGTCAAGGCGACAGCCGAGGCCATGTCTGGACATCAGGGCTTTGCCCACACAGGCACGTTTCGTGTCAACCCCGGCTCTGACATAGACCCTTGGCTTGGAAGTGTGAAGAAAGAGCAGGATTTGTATATTATGTTTGATGTTTTTCGCAGTAAGATGGTGTCGTATTTTCAGGAAGAGGGTGTATATGATGTATTAGGGATCACTGATGTCAAGGTTGGCAAGAGGGGTGTGGATCTAGCAGAGCTAAGGGGCATCTTCGGGACTGATGTGGTGGACAAGTCGTTGAAGTTGTGGAATATTATCATCAGCAAGATTCTATACCCTCCGATCCAGAACTTGATCATGGCATGTGAGAGTCCCCAGCAGGGGTGGAAGATCGTCACGAAGTTCTACCAAGAGAAGAAGGAGTCTGAGAAGACTAGGCTTGAGCAAGAGTGGTTGGCGTTAGAAATGCGTGAGTCGGAGAACCCACAGGATTACATAGCAAGGTCGGAAGCTCTTCGATTACGTCTTGCCTCAGTAGGAACTATCAAAGACACAACACATGCTTACAAGGACGTTGTGCGCGGCCTTCCCCCATCGTATGCCGTGCAAAAAGGAATATTGCTAGCAAGCGATGTCGTGACTTTGCATGCCCTTGAGACTGTGGTGAGGGACGCCCACATGGAGATGGAGCGCGAGAGGAGCAAGGAGCAGAGGCGAGAGGCGGAGCTCGCCCTCGTCGCGTCCGGTGCGAGCCGGAGCGGCGGGGGCAATGGGGGGGCATCCGGGGGACAAGGAGTAGTCGACGGTCAAGACCGTGAAATCCGTGATGGCGAGAGAAACCGTGACGTGTTCGTCGAAGATCCCACCGGTTTTTGCCGCTACCACCAGTCCGAACTACACACGAACGGGCAATGCCGTTACCAGCAGCATCTGCGGCGGACTCGCACGAGAGCAGCCGCCGAGGATCGCCACGGAGGTGGCGGCGGAGGCCGTGGCGGCGGCTGGAGCCAGCGAGGAGGAAGACCGCCGTCGGGAGCCGGCCGGGGTGGCGGGCGTTGGGTGAGAGTTGAAGGGCAGCAGCACCACACCGGTCATGGTGGCGGTGGCTGGAGCCAAGCCTCACCCCCCCCGCGACCTCTTCGTGGACGTGGACCTGGTGGTCGTCTGGGGCGGCACCCGGGGGGTCGAGGGCCCTCGGGACGCCACAGCAGCGACGGGCGTGCCGAGAGAGAGCGGGCAGGGAGAGGCCCGGGGCACGCGCGTTCTGGCCACGGAAGAGAGCAGGCGTACGTTGTGTACTACGCCCACGATGATGGTGGCTACTACGAAGACTATGGCGACTACGACGACGGCTACTACTACGACGGCGGCTACCACGACGCCGGGTACGCCCACTACGCCGGCGGTGGAGACAGCTACAGCTACCCCTCAGGGTACGAAGACAGCCGTTCATCTGACGGCGGCATCCACTACGTCTACTACCCTCCCGCCGGCGAAGATTCGTCATCCGAGCAGCAACGTCAGCCCCCCCCCGCGAGCGCTTCCTCCTCGTCCTCTACTCCTTCTCCTGGCGCGCCTCCATCTTCGGGCTACCTCCACCTCTGCACGGCACAATCGGTGCCCCTAGGCAAGTCTCACCCTGACGATTTTTTCAGTAGGATAGGAGTGACGATAGGAGTAGAGTCTGCTTCTAGTGCTTCGTCTTTGCTGAGTGTGAAATCTAGTGAGGGGCCGCCTGGTAGCGAGAGATGGGTAGCTGACTCAGGAGCCAGCAACAGTTTCACCAACAGTGACTTGCACATGTACGACTTGCAGGAGATACCCTCGAATAGGCAGTATGTCATTGTAGGAGATGGTCGTCTGCTGAAGGTGAAAGCAATCGGTAGCATCAACCTCAGCTTTTTCCAGGAAGGTGAAAACGGTGTGCCAACGACGATGTATGTGAAGCTGACTGACGTGTCTGTGGTCGAGAGTCTGAGTTTCAACTTGTTTTCGACGCATGCTGTTTCCCTTCGGCAACGAATAATCCATGACGAGCGTGGTGTGACCCTGCGTAACGGACTGCTGTTTGCTAGAGAGGAGAAAGCTTCTGCCGCCTATGCAATGCGCATGCCTTACGACCCGTCTGCGATTGTGGTAGACTCTGCTGCCTTGCCTGCCTTCGTGAGATCCCCCGTTACCACCCCCGCCGTTGGCTCCACGCGTTCCTCTTCCCAAAAAGGGGGCTCCGCGGAATCATTGGTGTCCGTATTGCGTGTTCCTTCCGCAGGCTCTGCTACCGTAGTACCTTCGAGTGAGAGCGTCCCGCCCACTGGTCCAACCAGTGTAGTACCTGCGAGTGAGAGCGTCCCGCCCGCCGGCTATGCCGACGTAGTACCTTCTTCGGCTTCCGGTTTTGAGTGTGTGGGTACTTTCCCGGGTATGGATCTTGGAGATACGAGTGTGCTCACCGACGAGCAGCTCATGGATGGCTATGATGACACCCCACATCAAGATTTTTTCCCCGTATTTATCCCAGAGAGTGACGCTGCGAATGTGGCTGGTGTTTTGGATAGCATTGACGGAGGTTCTGATTTTGACTTGGGTGCGGCCGCGCTTGGCCCTGGTGCGTCCCCGTTCACTCTTGGATCGACCGAAAAGTCCGTTGACATCAACCGCTTCCACCGCTCCCTTGCCCACGCTTGCGAGCCTCTTTTGAGAGAAACTGCCCAGCAGAGAGGCATCGTGCTCACCGGCAAGCTGGAACCGTGCACGGACTGCATGAAGGCGAAGGGCAGGCGAGCGTCGGTGCCGCGGGGGCCGGGAGCGAGGGCGTCCAAGCCTCTCGGGCGTGTTCACCTGGACCTGTGTGGACCGCTGGTGCCTTCCCTGGGCGGCAACCTCTACCTGTTCGTCGCCGTGGACAGCGCCTCGCGGTGGAACAAAGTCTACGGTCTCCGGCGGAAGTCCGACGCGCTGGCGGCAACGAAAAGGCTGCTGGCGGACGTGGGGCGGTACGACCTCGGACGAATCGAATGTTTCCGCGTCGACAACGGCACAGAGTGGACCCGCGGCGATTTCCGGCGCTTCTGCGACGACAACGGCATCGGCGTCGAGTTCACCCCGCCCGGCGTCCCGCAGTACAACGGCGTCGTCGAGAGCGCCATCTGGCGGATCATGAAGGCCGGCATGGCCGCCCGCCGCAGCGCTGGCCGTGTGTTCCACGTCGACTTCGCCTCCATCCCCGGCCTCGACGAGCGTGGTGACCGTCTTTGGATGGAATCGGCGAAGTGGGCCGCCGACGCTCTCAACCAGTCGGCGACCAAGGCCAACCCCGGGCGGCGCTCGCCGCACGAGATGTTCACCGGCGAGCAGGGGCCGTTCCGCGTGCTGCCGTTCTTCCAGCCCGGCTTCATGCGCGAGGACCGCCGCACCAAGCTCGACGACCAGGCCACGCTCTGTTACTACCTGAACGGCGGCGACAACCACCCGAGCGGCACCGTCAAGGTCCTCAAGGCGTCCACCGGCCGCGTCGTCTACACCAACAACGTGTCGTGGGTGACGTCGGCGCCAGCCGGCGAGGGGGGTTCCGCTGGTATCACCGCTGCGCCGACACCCCCCCCGTTCACGCCGCCGGTCGTCTCGATCAACTTTGGCCCAGCACCGACGCCTTCGACCGCCACACCGCCACCGCCAGCGCCCACGCCGTCGCCCGCTCCCGCTCCCGCTGCCTCTTCGACTCCTGCCGCAACGCCGCCGCCAGCGACCACGCCGCCGCCCGCTCCCACGACTTCACAGCCGCCCTCTGCCACTTCGCCGTCACCGTCGGCGACCCCCGCTCCTGGCAATCCGTCCTCTGCCTCTCCGCCGTCACCGTCGGCGACCCCCGATCCATACCAGCCGCCGCCGCCGCCGGACCCCGCGATGCCCCCGCTTACGGCTCACGCCATGCGGCAGCTTCGCCCGGGTACAAAGGCCGAGGGTATGACAGACCCGCGGCTGCCAAGCCGTACGAGATCGGGCACGAGGCACAGCACAGGACTCATCTCGATGCTAGACAGGAACACTCTGGTGTCGATGCTGGAGGCTCGGAGCGCGGTGGATAAGGAGCGCAGGGAGCTGGGGGGGGCGGAGGCCGGAGAGCCGGGGGGAACGGGGGCCGGAGAGCAGGCGGGAGCACTCGCAGCAGTGGACCCGGGGGCTGCAGGAGCGGGCTTTCCACTCGCATTTGCCACGCTCCTCGCCAACCGGGAAGACATCGACGCCACGCTGCGAGACCAGCGCCCGCCGGAGCAACGCCCTGACCTTCCGCATTGCCAGGCCAGCGACCTTCGTGTCCCCAAGAGCTACAAAGAGGCCATGGCGTCGGAGCACCGGCACCTTTGGAGCGACTCTATGCAAAGGGAGTTTTATGGCTTGTTGGAAGCGGGGACTTTTACTCCGGCGAAGTAGCAACTAGTGGAGAACGCAATTAACGCTAAGTGGGTATTCGATTGGAAGGCAGATGAGTTTGGATGGCCCACTAAGGTTAAGTCGAGACTTGTAGCGAGAGGTGATATGCAGAGAGAGTACATTGACTTTGGAGAGTTGTACGCGCCTACCGTTTCTGTTTCATGTGTTAGGATGTTGGCTGCTTTGGCGTGCGAGTTGAACCTCGACTTGTGTCATTTCGATGTTGAGCAAGCTTTTGTGCGTTCGGAGTTGGAGGAAGACGTGTACATGCGTTTGCCGCAGGGATGTGGAGCTCTATCAGGAATGATTGTAAAACTAGGCAAGAGTCTGTATGGCTTAAGACAGGCATCTAGGCAGTGGCATGCAATGCTGAAGAGGTGTTTGGTGGCGTTAGGATTTGAGCAGTGCATGGCCGATGCTTGTGTGTTTCGTTTGATTGAGGATGGATGTGTTGTTTTGATTTTGGTAGTACATGTAGATGACATCTTTGCTGTTGGAGAGAGGGAGAGATGTGATAAGTTTGGCGCTGACCTTAACAAGTCCGTGCCAGTGAAGAACCTGGGAGAGTTGAGATGGTATTCTGGGTGCTTTTACGAGAGGAATAAGGAGACCGGTAGGTTGACGATTTCTCAGCAGACTTTCACGGACGAGCTAGCAGCAGAATATGGAGTAGTGGGAGGTAGGAGCGTTCCGATGTCTTCGGGTGTGAAGCTTTCTGATTTTGATGCGGATGAGGTGGCGACAGAGTTTCCGTTTCGTGAGCTGGTAGGATCGTTGATGTGGCTGGCGACTCAGACTAGACCAGACATTGCGAATGCAGTAAGGGCAGTAGCTAGGTATTGCGCATCTCCGAAGCTGGTACACTGGAATGCAGCGATGGATATTTTGGGCTATGCGAGGAGGACGAGTCACTTTGGTATTTCGTTTCAGAGAGGTACGGTAGAGGGATTCAGCTTGCAGGGATACGCTGATGCGGACTTTGCAAGCAAGGCAGCAGACCGTAGGTCGGTATCAGGGGGGATCGTGACGTGTGGAGGAGGCGCTGTGTCTTGGTTTTCCAGAACGCAAAAATGCGTCACGCTTTCGACGACAGAAGCAGAGTACGTCGCGCTAGGCGACGTAGTGAAGGAGATTTTGTTTTTGAGGCAGATTTGGCGTTTCATGTTGCCGCAGGTCGGCATGCCGTGCATCCCCGTCTTCGAGGACAACCAGGGGGCGATTCAACTAGCGCAGAACCCCATCTCAAACTCGAACTCGAAGCACATTGATGTAAGGCACCATTTTCTCAGGGAACTGGTAGAGAGGAAGGAGATTTCGGTGATTCACGTGCCGTCTCCGTACCAGCGTGCAGACTTTCTTACGAAAAGTTTGCCCAAGGATGCGTTCGAGTCTCACCGTGATTTTGTGATGAATTTGGCATGAGTTTTTATTATTTTTCTGATGAGTTTGGTTTGGCTTTCGATTTGATTGTTTTGCTTTCCGCGCTAAGTTATTTTCACGCGCGATGCAGCAGTATTCATGTTTCTTGGACTTGGTTTTCGTGTCATATATTTTGGAAGTAATCTTGATCGCATATATTCAGGAAAAGACGTCTTTTGGTTGAGATATCCGATATTGTTTCGTAGTTTGCAGTGAAGATACTGTTGCGAGCAGGGGGGATGTAAGATATACTCGCAGCAGTCTCTAGACGTGAGGATCCTCGGGGATACGTGTTGAGAATTTCGTATGTTGATGGGTACCACCGATGCAGATACGGGGACCCTTTTGGCCTTGGTTGCGGTGTTGAAGGCTCGCGCATCTAGCGCACTGCTTTCGCTCTCTCCACCGCTACCGCCGTCTCTCTCCAATCAAGTTTCCTTCTCCAACGCTTTCTCCAACGCCAACGCAATCTCAATCTCTACCTCTCTCTCTCGGCCTAACACGGCCGACTACCCACTGCCCCAACAGACGCCCAACACGGGCTTGCTGCACCCCGCGTAGTTTACCTTTCAAACGGGTTGTTTTTCCTTCGTTTGCAACGATGTTTTTCCTACCGAAACAATATCGAAACCACCACGCATGAGTACTCCAGCGAGTGATAGCCTTCGGAGCGACGACAGGATCCATCTCACGAACAGTCCTACTAAATAAGTGGGTGCGAAGTGTGAGAAGTAGTAGCTGCACATCTCGGTGGTGCTTAAACGTCCGAAGTGAAGAATGCAGGTGCGCCGCAATGAAAAATGCAAATGCCGTTGAAAGGGGGTGATGATCGTTTGTCAGCTGCGGTATAGCACGAAACCGGTGGTTGTTAGCCAGAATTTCGCCGAAGCACACGCAGGCATCACCAGCACTTCGGTGTTTAGTTGTCACTTGGAGCTCCTCTAATAGTCAGAAGCGCCAGAGGTTGTGACGCGCAGCCTAAATTGTTTGGTGGAAGCTCCTTACAGTGACAACACTATGCTTCCTCACTCACTCACTCACGTGATCAAATGGGAGATATTTGGTGATCGTTTTCATCGTTCGTCGACCCCATTTATATGTTCTTCACGAGGCTGGTTCAGTACCCAACCCTAGTGGTTAGCCAAGCGCGCGCTCTCCGAGGAGCTACACGTCAGGGCAGAGCTTAAACGTCCGTAGTACAGAATGAAGATGCGCCGGAAAAAATAGCCAGGCGTGCTCTCCGTAGATTATATGCAGGAATGCGGTTGAAGGCGGGTGATGATCGTTTGTCATCTGTGGTGTAGCACTGAACGAACTGGTAGTTGTTGGCGAAAAATACGCCAAATCACACGCAGACATCGCCACCACCTTGGTGGCAACTCGTCACTTGGAGCTCCTTTATGAATCAGAAGCGCCAAAGGTTGAGACGCGTAGACTTTTATTCGGTGAAAGCTCATACAGTTTGACGATACTTTCTCACTCACTCACTCACGTGATCAAATGGGAGATATTTGGCGATCGTTTTCATCGTTTATCGACCCCAAGTGTTTTTCACGAGTCATCCAACATTCTATAAGCAATGTCCCGCAAATATATGCCGTCACCCAGGTCCACCATTCACTATGTCTCTGGCAGGCCGTTCGGCGTGCCAGCGATCAACGACAACCTTGCGCTTCTCTGACGACCAAGAAGAACGACCGTATTCATCACGGCGCACACACACCAATCAGGCGAGGGAATATTTTTTCTGCGATTGAGCATGAGATCTACATAGCACCACACCTTGGGGGACGAAAACGCGCACAACACCATACCCCATAGCACCGAAGCTCAAACAGCACTGGGCCAGACTCCAGGGTTGGCCCCACGCAAAATTTCATAGCAGTTCTTCTCTTACAAGGGCGTGACACCACATAACGTATTGCTAACACCGCAATTCATTATTGCCTACACATGTTTCACATATGATCCCTCACGCCCCCTAAAAAATGGCACAACGATGTGATAACGTTGTATCTTGGTAGTTTGTAATCACCCGGGTCTGGTATAATCTAATGTCACCTACGGCGTTTGCCAGCTTGATGATGCGGAAAACCCGGAGAACCTTTCAAACCCGGCTATTTCCAACCACGATATTATTTCCGGTGAGACGTTCTTCCCAAAACAAAGGCGCCCCTCCTGACATTGTCCATTGACTTAGTGTGGGGCGGGAAGACGTGAACCTGGGAAATAGAAAGCGTGACCAGCTGGTTAGATACATCCAACGCACAGTCGATTAAGTTGTGGCTGCGTGTAACGGCAGGTTCAATAGACCTAGACGACGACGGGGTGAGCGGTTGTGTGCATCACATTGTCGGGGGGCGGGGAGGGAGAGAACAATCAAAATGAATGTATGTCTGACCCCAAGAATGACAGATGACAAGGTGGGCGAGAGAGCCAGCGAGCACTACAAGTGCTGTATGGAAATGAATGCCCTCTGGGGGGGAGCGGGCGTCAGCAGGGAG